GAAAAACAGCAACACAGAAGAGCACAAATCCTTTGACTTCTTTGTATTTATTCCTGAGCAAAGAAAACCAACAATAACTAATATTTTCTTACAACTTCACAATTTTGTCTTGTTACCATAAAGTCAACAATCATGTCACATTCACCAACAGTGGCTGGACAAAGGAATACATGACTAACTTCACTTATAGTGTGACATCTGTAGGTCCTTTACAAACATTTAACTAAAATGTCATAAACACAATACATTTACAAAATATACAATAAACAAAAAAATATTGTTTAGCCAGAAATTCACAGTTATGGGTAAGTAAGTAAAACTTATTAGTAAAACTAAGAGAAATACATACATAAATACATGTGCATTAGGTTGTATGTTCTCATGTATGGTACTGACATAACAACCAATGCCCTCAAGCTGGTCAACTTTGGATCAAAGCTTTGTTTATTCATTCATCTTCGTCTAACCACTGAGCATCTTCGAGTAGGTAGCCAAGACCCATTGAAGGCCGTGGTCGAGGTTTAACTGTGGCTCCATCAACCCCTTGCTCTGAATCTTCCTCACCCTGCAAGACATTTTTAAAAAAATATTATTTAATTATGATAGGCTGTGATTGGAAAAGTCCCTAACATAAAATAGTTGTCATTTGCTTACCTTGAAAGTAACAAAGCGCCTCACTTTAACTTCTGTTCCACCAATATTGTGAGGACCGACCCAGTCTGCCATGTCTGCTTCTTCCTCACAAGAAAACTTCACAAAGGCCAACGATTTTTGTTTCCCAGAGTTGGGATTCTTCCTAATCTAAGATCCAGTATAAAACAGAAAGTATTTATCACAGGTCTCTTGTAGGGAAAAAAAGCAAACCAATAGTTTTTTTCTTCAGTCTTTACTTTGCATGATTTGATGGTGCCCCATTCTCGGAAGTAAGCTTGTATATATCCTTCATTTATATAGGGATTCAGATCTTCTACAAGCAGTCCATGTTCCTGTTAAATAGCAGAAATTCAAGAGCTTCATGAAACATTTAAACATAAAAAGATAAAAGGAAATAAAATGATAGCTTTGCTCAAAGATATGGGAATGAGAAAAGTTGTTTACAAGTTCATATTGCTCGGCCAAAAGATCTATGAGTTTTTTCGGAATACAGATGTACGGCCTTTTGTTAGGCGCTGTCTTCATGCCGCCTGGGGGAAAGATGAGCAAGAAAATTATAACATAGAAGGGTGATGCATCTAAAGCAGTCGCACAATTTGTAATTTCATTTTCTTTAAAGATGAGACATGAAATCAAGAAAGCCCTTACTTACCAGAAGTCATTGTTGAGAGTCGGATGTGAGACAAACCTGCACTTTAGATCAGACCGAGGTAAGGAATGAAATAACCTGCTGCAAAGTGGGTTAATATGTAAGGTAGGAAAACTCCTCCCACTTTCATTCTTGTGTTTTCATGAAGGAAAGTCAGGAAGAATTTTTGAATAACTGTTCCGAGTTACCTAACTTGTTTAGCAGCTAGGGGGAAACTGTATGGTGGCTAGGGACGGCTGGCATTACTGAAAACTTGTTAATGTAGCAATGTGCTAGTTAACTTACTGTATTTGGACATGGTGGTACGCAGGAGCAAGTTGTCATATTTTTAGACCGTTGGTTCATCCAGCTGGACTTTTCTCATTGAAACAGTAAAAAAAAATGTAAATAAAATAATTATAATATTTTTATTTCTTTTGATGAAACATATTCCTTCAGATTTGGCAAATGTTCTTCAATTGTTCACTTGAACTCAACTTGGTGGTCTATACCATGAATATGACTCAATTTGTTTGTACTGGAAAAGAAGAACAACAAAAAGATCAAAGAACAACTTGAAGTCAGCTCAGGTAAGTTTTTACTCACATAACCATTATGTGTTCTCAAAAGGTTTTACAGTCAGGCAAAAGTCGTTCTTCACTGACAACATATCCAACAGGACCCCACTTTACTTTTTCTTTCGCACTTCTGCATATTTTACCGGTTAAACAATGTCACGTGGAATGCGTTCTTAAGAAATCCATTGTGAAGGTATTCATGATGACTGATTTTAAAGAATCTTGGGTTGTGTGTTGTGTGCTAAGGTCTCCATATCCGGATATGTAAAATAAAGATCATTTTTTAAAGTAAAAAGACCACTTTTGAGCCGTGTCTTTTTGGCCGTAAAGAATCCGAAAGAACCGGAATTTAACACTTGCCATCAGATAAAAGAAACAACAGGGACAAAAACAAAGAAGAAATTTTATTTTGTCTTGTCATAAAATACATTGAAGATCATTGTACACAGTGATTATAAAAGCCTATAAATAAATATTAATAACCCTGCTGAGGTGCCAACTGTCAGTGATTCAGTTTTCAGAGATGACCAAGATTAACATATATTTTAAAAAAGCAAACTTCACGGTTACTGGTTTTACTTTTATTTTGTTCATGTTTGTAGCATGTTTTAGACGTTCCTGTTTATCTGGACAATCAACTCAGCTTTGAGATAATATCGAAGCTGAAATACTTCTCAGTGAGCCAAACTGCTGCGTAGTGAGAGATGTGTAGTGAGAGAGTCCACTTCGTTCACAGTGTTCAGCCAGAGACTGGGGAAGAAAAGAAAGTTCATCTTTTGACTTGAAATACCAGTGCAAAGCAAAAAAAACCTAAACAAAACAAAAATTATGTAGCCTCAGTGAAGAGCTGCAGTATTGAGAATACTCACCCTTGAGGGGAAGTGGGATGATTATTTGCATAAATCCTGTAATTTGGCGATGAGGAACTTTTTGTCTTTACCCTCCTGTGAACAGCATTAAAACAAAACACAATGCATTGATATTAATAATGACAAAAATTTGATTTCAGCAGTTATTAAAAAATAAATTGATTCAATAAATTAAAAACTGTAATAAAATACTGACTGAGCTAACCAGATGAGCTGAGAAAGGCTGTTTCAAAGTTTTAGAGGTACTGCGTGAAAAGCGTGGTCACCTCTGGTTATAAATAGTGTGGAACTATAAACCGACGATCAGAGAAGCTGACTGCTGTTATAAGCTCTGCTATGTAGGCAGGAGCCTACCCATGTCGGGTCTTTTTGATAGGTTTATGTTTGTGGCTAGCTTGATGTTGGTTGTTAACTCTGACTGATCTGTCCTGTTCTCAACCAAACACTAGATAGTGAAAGTTATATGTTATGTTTCTTATCTTATCTTGTGTTTTTGGTGACTGTTAACAGGGCTGAGTATGGCAGCTGTTGCTTCTGACTTAAGTTTCTGAAGGAAGCTTCATGGACGGAATTGTATTTGTGTAGAAAAGATGATTTGTCGTCCATAGCATAACACTTTGAATTAAATGTGAGCAAGCAAATGCTTATGAGAGGTCTGAGAAATGTGGTCTCAAACAAACTTTTGGGCTCGGTTCATCTTGTCCTCCAGTTTTACCTAATAGATTTACACAAGCAAAATTTGCTCTGCCAGTGGATGATGGGGAATTGGCTGCTATCGAGACACACCCAAAATTGCAAAAATAACCACTTGACCTAGCTCAATTAGTTCTTTTCACTTCCTGGAATAAAGGAAGAAGCATTTCTCAAGGAATGTTTGGCAGGATTACAGTTGGAGGCTCAGGATAAAGCCCAAACCATCAGACAGAGTTTGAACTTTGGAAGTTGGAGCTGGGGTGGGGTTAATTAAAACAATTCAAACCCAGAGCCTGATCCATGTTTTGAACAATTTATCTTTCAGGGATCTTTGTCTTTAACAAGCAAACCAGAGGTTGAGCAAACTATAAAAGTCCTGAGGGATACTGGTAGATCTCGGTCACTGATAGTCACTGATTTTTTGCCCTTGAGTGAGTCAGCTCCTCTAATCATAAAGGCTTTTTTACCATCTTTGGCCTCCCAAAATCCAAAGTAGTTCAGACAGACAAAGGCATAAATTTTCTATCAAAACACACTCAAAAAGATGAAATTGGGTGGTTGTTACATGTACAACTTGTAATTTGAACTAAATAATTTCATGTTTCTATGGTGAACGTAATTAAATCATGTAGCATCTGCATGAAATTCAGCAACTTAATTTGTTCTTGTTGAGATGACATGATACAATCTAGTAAGAGTGGTTCGTTGCCTGGACTCACGAAAATCACATTAGATGTCAAACTGCAGGAAAATCGCTGGAGTTTTAAGAGGCAGACAACTACACCCACACCACGTATATGGTATTGCTATTTATTGCGGTTTAATCTGTCAAGGACAAAAACGTACAGAAAATGCTGCATCAAGCCTTGTAATCATAGCTTTCCTAGTTTGTTAAGCCTGGGTTGGCAGCTTGGTGGTGTGATGGTTAATGCTGTTACCTCACAGCAAGAAGGACCTGGGTTCAAATCCACAATCTGGCTAGTTTGCTGTGTGTGATTAGAGTTAGGTTAATTGGTGTTTCTGCATTACCCATGAATCTAAGTGTAAATGGTTGTTTTTCTCTATAAAATCATCAACCCCTGTATTGGTTCATTACGCAAGACTAGCAGTAATTGTCTTGCTTAACAAAGTAATTATTCAAGCAACAAGATTTCTTTGCGTTTTCCTTAACTTGTGTAGAATGAATTAAAACAGATTTCATACTTAAATAAATCACTTCAACTCAATGTAAGTATACTACGTTGATCCAATGTAATCTGATTACGTTAAACCACCAAATGCCAAATGTGTTGGTTTGACATGGTCAAAAATTGGTTATTGTACTTGGTTAAATCACGTGGAAATAGGTACCATGATTAAATTGTGTTCATCCAACAACAGATTCTTTTGAGTGCTCTTTAAGTAGGTCATGCAGACTCTTAGTAGTTAAACATGTGGTCTCTAGTGCCTGTCATCCTGAGTCCTAGGGAGCTCTGGAAAGGTGGCACCAGACTATTAAATCTATGCTTCAGAAGTGCTGTTTGGCTACTGGTAATGACTGGGATGAAGGAGTTCCACTAATGGTGTGTGCAATACGGGAAGCTAAACAAGGATCCCTGTGTCTTAGCCCAGCTGAAGTTGTTTTTGGTTATTCAGTGCAGGGGTCTTTTAAAACTATTTAAATAACAACTTCTGCACAATCCAATAAAACTAATGTTTTGGACTATGTTTCACAGATCTTTGAACGCTTGTAGCAAGCCCTTTCAGTAGCACTGGAAGCTCTTTTGTCTGTTCAGATCACCATGAAGCGGCATTATAAAAAGCACATGAAAAGTCAGTTACAATGATCAAGACAGGAAAAAAATTAAAGCGTGTATTAAATGTCCAAATGATTGGGTGTCGGTAAAGTGGGAGGAAGAGAGAGTGGAAATGTGGAGGCATGCATTGGAGAGAAGAGAAAGGAAAGTCAGTACAAGTAAGACAGAGTATATGTGTATGAATGAGACGGAAGCAGGTGGAAAGGTGAAGATGAGGGGAGTAGAAGTACTGAAGATGGATGAGTTTAAATACCTGGGTCAACCATCCAAAGCAAAGGACAGTATAAAAGGGAGGTGAAGAAGAGACCGTAGGCTGTAAGCTTTAGAGATGATGTCACAGACAAAAAGACAGGAGGAAGAAGTGAAAACCAGGAGGGAAGAGACGAAAGAAGAATTTTAACATAACCATATAATCAGATGATGAATTCAAACTAGGATGCTGAATTTGTTTTTGTCATTTCTGTCTCTCAACTCAGAAGGAATTTTCACATCTTTAGCGATGCCTTTTTTTTCTCCGCTGCCATCATCAGGGGAAATGCTAAAAGCGGTTCAAATGCTACTTGTACATTTTAAAAGTACGCCATCAGTGTCAGCCTTAACATGGTGCGAGTGTTAGCGCTTAAACTCACAAATGCCGCTAACATAGACAAACTCATGCATACATTTTCAATCTGCTTTTCTAACCGGCTGATGATTTTCCTCTGGCCATCAACAACTTGAGCCTGAAAGTATATCACCATTCTGCAAAAACAAAAGCAAAAATAGCAATGGATCATTTCAAAATTTTAAGAGCGTAAAACCATTTCTGTAAGTCACGAACGTTAAATGTTTCAATGGAGGAGATGCTTGCTGCTACGAATTGCTACCAACAAACAACGCTGACTTGCTAATTAATGAAATGAAATACATAGCGGAAACAGGAGCGTAATCATTACCACTCACAGAAAGACTCCACTGGCGAGGAATAGAAACACTGGATTCTCTACCAAACAGTCGTAGACCCAGCTGAGCCACTTCAGGATTGGATGAGCATCCTCCAGGTGCCTGGTCGACATCTGCCCTCCCTCAAACATTGTTGTGAGATTCCTGAAAGGGCCGCACTTTTCCGAGGGTTTGATTCTGTGCATGACAGGCAGATGCAT